ACTAAAAGAAGTTCATTTGTCTTTTTACTAACATGGGTGAGGAGAAAGAGTGATTTTCTGGTTATTGGAGCCCTGAGCATACATGTGCCACTGATTCAAAAGCCCATGATTAGTATGTACACACTGGAAACCCACTGTCTTGAAAACCCCTCCCTGCCTTCCTTTGTCCTTGTCATATTATACTCATGCCATTTCCGAGTTCAAATACTCATAAGCATTCCAGAATCTCAACTCTTTGTGCCCTAAAATCTGAACAAAGCTGGCTTTTTCAGAAGCATCTACACTAATCCACATCCCCCATTCTCTTCTGAAGCATTCTGCCGGTTGTTCCTGCTACGTGACCATGGTCTCACTTCTGTCTTTGTGGGTTTCTTTCCACAAGATCCCCTGAAATGGAACCTGAGAGGTTTTATTTGCCTTTGACCATCTCAGCCATTGTTCCAAGTCTGTCTTACTATTATCTCCTCTGAGGAAACTTTCCTTTGCTTTTCTGTACAGATTTGTAAGTGGCTCACATAACCAGCACTCTCAAAGTACTTGTTTCTGCTGTGGATGATTGATTGATAAATAAAACACTGAGTGGCCAGTAGCAAGGCAGGAAGTATAGGCAGGACTAACAGAGAGGAGAATTGTGAGAAGTGGAAGGCTGAGGCAGAGAGAGGCTGCCAGCCGCTGCCATGAGAAGATGTTAAGATACCGGTAAGCCACAAGCCACATGGCAACCTATAGATTAATAGAAATGGGTTAATTTAAGATATAAGAACTAAATAGCAAGAAGCCTGCTGTGGCCATACAGTTTGTAAGCAATATAAGTCTCTGTGTGTTTACTTGGTTGAGTCTGAGCAACTGGGGGACTGGCAGGTGAGAGAGATTTGTCCTGTCCGTGGGCCAGGCAGGACCAGGAAAACTCTAGCTACATGTTTCATACTTGTACATCCGTTTATTTCTCGCATGATTAAATTCCTGATTCTGCAAATGTCAAGCTTCTCCCTAGCACAGGCTCAGTTTTGCGTGTCATAGCTCAAGAGTGTCTCAAAGATGCATGAAACTAAACTGACTCATTTGAGCCAAAAACTGAAATTCTAAGAGCTTGACACCTTGGTGGTGAAGTGCAGTCCCATGAATGACATTGCCAGTTCATTCTTTACATCACTACTCAGAGTAAAACAGTTTCCAATACCCTCAATCAACAAGGAACGCTACAATTTTGAAATGTCTCTACCCCATCCATGTCCACTTCTTTTTTATTTAAATTTTTTATACAGTTTTTAGGGGTGTTGGTTTTTGAGACAGGATTTATGTAGCCTTGGCTGTCCTGGAACTAGCTCTGTAGACCAGGCTGACCTTGAACTCACAGATCTGCCTGCCTCTGCCTCTTGAATGCTGGAATTAAAGGTGTGTACCACAACTACTCAGTTATCCAATATTTTTTAGCATATTTTTTCTTCTCCCCTAACTCTTCCCAGATTCTCCCCTCTTCTCTAACCATCCAACTTTATGTTTCCTTTCTCTCTCTGCTTCTGTCTTTCTTTTTTTCTCTTTCTCTGTCCCTCTCTTTCTCTATCTCTCAAAAAAAAAAACCCAAACAAAAAAATGAAAATCAAACAGACAAAAAACACGAATATATGGAATCCATTTTGTTTTAGCCAATTACTCCTGGGTATGGAGCCTACCTGGAATTTGGTCCTATGCTCATTTTAACGTGAGGAAATCATATGCAAGGATGTTGAAAAAGCTCATCAAATTTTGTAAGTTAATCAATAGCTATAATCATGATGAACTTTGTCTTATTTTTCACAGGTTAACGTTTTTGTTGGTCAGAGAAAGTTAATCACTACTACTTGGAAATAAAAATTAATTCGGAGAAATCAAATAAATGAAATTCTGCCAACTTTTCTAAGGTAGGATTTAAAAAAAACAAAAACAAAAACAAAAAAACAAGTTCTCAGCCAGGCAGTGGTGGCAAACACCTTTAATCCCAGTACTTGGGAGGCAGAGGCAGTTGGATCTCTGTAAGTTTGAGGCCGGCCTGGTCTACAGAGCGAGATCCAGGACAGTTAGGGCTACACAGAGAAACCTTGTCTCAAAAAATAAACAAACAAATAAATAAATGCAAGGTCTTTCTATGTAGCCGTGACTGTCTTGGAACTTACCATGTAGATGAAGTTGGCCTCCCAAGTGCGGGAATTAAAGGTGTGTGCCACCATGTCCAGCTTTAAGACAAGAATTTAAAGGATAATTTCTTCAATGAGCTTGTGTCTCATCTTGGGAATGGAGATGTTATAATGAATTTCATCTACTAAAAGCAAGACTTAACTGGCATTTTGTCCTATATGTGCATCTGTTTCCACTGTTGCTTGGGTGTGTTAAGCAAGGATTATGGAGGGTCGTTGTCTTGGATTTAGAACCTGCATGGGGCCCCAGGAGCCAGACCATAGCAAAATGGAATTGCTCTTTTGAAATGTCATGACTAAGCGGAAACTTTAAGGAAGCAGATAGATCTCAACAGACCAGCTTTCCCTGAAAATCTGAGGTTCTAGTTGACTTGAGTCATTCAAGATAAGGAAATCCCTCTGCTTTATTAACTCCTACTAAGAGTACTCTAAAGGCACTTGATGTTAGCCAACTCTGTGTGTATGTATTAATCTGGTCTCTATTTCCATCCTACAAAAACCACTGTTTTACTATTGCACAGTGCAAACTTTTATGCTATTTTGCAGAAGGGAAGCTATCCCAATTCATGAATCACAAATAAAAGTAATCAATTATATTGATTACCCTATCTGTTACAGTTTTTGATCTGGGCAGTTCTAAGAATTTTGTCATGGTTTGCACAAGTCATGACATCTTTTTTCTAGCCTGAATTTATTGCAACCATGCTCTATGGAGTAGTATTCTCCAGCCTTAATTCTCAATTTTGCTGCTAGTTGGGCATCGCCCAGTCATGTTTAGGTCTCTTTGTTCAGACTGCTTATGCAAACCTCTACAAACATGGGTGGGAGGCATCAGGTGATATAACCTTTAAACTATATAGTCTCATCTTCCTAACAGTATCTTAAGCTACCCTCGTTCTCATTGATACGAAAGGCAACTGAAGTACCCAATGTCTCAGAGTTTCCAGTGCAGAGACCTGGCCAACAGTAATGAACTTGCGCCCTCTACCTCTACTATCTGAATTTCATCAACAGAACCTTACAATAATTTTGTTGACTGCACGCATACGCGCGCGCGCGCGCGCACGCACACACACACACCCGCACACACACACCGCACACACACATTTGGCCCCTATGACTATAAATCAGAGATATAAAGTTATTTTCAGACATTTGCCTTTTTTGTATGTCAGACATTATCAATTGATTATAGTTTTTTTCCCCTTTTTAGTATAAAGGAAATATTACTTCCCATAGTTGTTATTCAGTCAACCAATATGGATGAAATTCTTTTGTAATCACAGGCAGGGAAAGATAATCTAAATGCAACTTTGAATTAAGCCAGGCCATTGAGGGCCTAGGCACTCAGCTGAAGTGGAAAGATTGGACAGTTCATAAATTTCCTTTATTGTAATTATGGCAACAGTTTACATTAAGGGGGTCAGTGGATCACTACATCTGACACTTTCTTTCCACTTACCTCACAACATCATCATCATGAGTTATGGTCTAGAGGGCTTGAATGGGTTTGTTCTCCCCACCAGTTAAGGAGTTAAAAGGCAGGGACAATTTCCAGGGCAGCAGGTAGCTTTGGAAGAAGACAGCAGCAGGCAAAATCAGCTGGTAAAGAAAAGGCTTTTATTGGAAGTGAGGAAGAGCACACACACACACACACACACACACACACACACACACACAGACAGAGAGACAGAGAGACAGAGACAGAGAAAAGCACACAGAGAAAAAGACCCTCAGAGACTTGAGAAGCTAAAGCCCAGTCTCTATTTGGGGGTTGGAATTTTTAAGGTCTTTTGAGGTGGTCTTTCTCCCCTAATTTAGGGATGGTCAGTTTGAACAAAGGCAGGGAGGCTGATAGGTCCTCAAGTCTGGAGTAAACGGTTCTGGTTTGGTCTTGATCTTGTGGACTAGAAGGAGGGCCTTACTAGGAACAGAACAAAGCCCAATAGGCCTTTTTTTTTCTCCAGACAGGGTCTATGTAGTCTTGGCTGGCCTGCAGCACATTATATAGACCAGGTTGGCTCTAAACTCACAGAGATCTACCTCAGGCCTTTGTTTTAAGCTGCCAGTCTTTTGTCTCTGGTCAGGAGGGTGAGGAAGAAGCTAGATACATCTTGAAAACTCACCATCATTATTATCTAGTCATGGTGCCTGTCAGGAAATCGGTCTAGCTCCTAGTCCCCTGCAAGGAATCAGAAGTTTCCCTCAGGGTAAGAGTTAAGAAGTGTGCTTTTCAAAACCCAAATTTCGATTGGTTTTTATGAATATTATAAAACTTTAAAATATTTGTCATTTCCTCTGTTCTGTGGCCTTTTAGAAGCTTAGACCCTCACTTACTGTCTACCTTCAGGGACTGTTGTATACTGATGGTTTGCAGTTGGATGCCTTAGTTATTCTCCCTCAATGAATTTTCCCTCCAATTCTTTAAAATATTTCTCCTGTAGAATATTGCATACATTTTAGTAGACTGCTTTAAATAATTTCTGGAAGATGAAAGATAACAAACGTTATCAAAATCAAAGCAGGCATTTATTCATGGTGAGGAACTTAGGTGCCCAGGATGTAACACAGGCAAATACTCATGCTCATGCGCAGGAAGAGGTTCTCATCAAGAACACTACAGTACTGGCACATGGCTTGAGAGTAATGCTCCCATAGGCCAGCAAGAGTGTCTAACGCGGGGCGGGGGGGGGGCAGTCACATAAACCAGCCAGGCTTGGGCACCATGGAAACGGCCCCACCTGTAAGGGGAGACAGATGGTACAGCCCAAGGGAAGAGGCGTGGCCTAGGCGTCTATTGCACTGTGAAGGCGTGGCTACAGAAGGAGGCGGGCATCCGCGGGAACTTATGCTCGAGTGTGAGAGTGTGGCGCTGCCGGAGGGTGAGGGCGTGAGCAAGTTAGTTCCCGGCTGTGGTCAGAGTCCGGTCATTGCTATACCTATGGAACCATGATGGAAAGCCAGCGCCGGAGCCACCTAGAGCGCCAGGGCGAGCTCTGCCGCAGGGCGGGACTTCCGGTGTACGGGCCAAAAGGGCTGGCCAGAGGTCCTGAACTCACGTAGTGTCATGACGTAAGGGGGCGTAGCCAAGATGGCTGCGCGCATGAAACTGTGTGCCGGGACTCACCGCGGAGATCGGTCCCGGTAAGTACGGGCTACTCTGTGTAGCACTAGCAACAGCGTAGCCTGGCCTATCTGAGAGGACAAGGACTATTCCTTGGGCCTTACACTACCACGCGCTACTGTGGGCTGGGGAGACCGGTAAGGTGTAGGCCCACGAGTATAACGGAGGTCCTGCCCAGCAAGGAAGGGGTGGGGTGTCAATCGGCGTTTTCCCAGTGCTCTCTCTTCTATAAAGGGTCACCAGATGACCTCTGAGGATTCTTTCCATTTAGGAGATGGGAGACTGCATTTCTAGAAACCGAGGCTGAAGAAGCCGGAACGTCTCCGGATCTGCGTTTTTGATATCCCGACTCTGTCAGGGGAATGCATACTCACTGGGCATCTTCAGGATAGGCATCAGGGCAGCACAGCTGTGTCCGGAACACAAGTTTGAACCTTTTCACGCCTCAGTTTCTTATATCCTTTTTCTTCTGTGCCCTACACCAGAGCGAGAGAAGAGAAACTTCCAAAATAATGGGTGACTGGGATCCGTGTGACAACCGGCGTTAAAAGTTACTGGACCAAAGCTGCTGGAAACTATACTGTAACTCTCCCTCGTTTGTTTTTTACTGATAGAGCTTGAGAAATACTTGGATGTGTACACCTTAATTTGGATAATCTCTTATGTGTCAGTCCTGGAAACCACTGTTGCGTTTTCTCCTGCTTTATTACTGCCCCTCTCCCTTCTCTTCAAAGGTTTTGCTGGTGTGTGTAGAACAATTAGAAATTCCTAGTGAGCAAAGCAGTCTTGTGCATCTTTCGGAGAAGTAAATGCACACAGGCTGGATGGCAGCCTACTGTGAACCCAAGTTCACCCCACTCACTATAGCTGTTCTTCAGTATTTTGGGAACAAAAACCTTTCTGTTGTTTTTCTCCTTTCCTTCAGGTGTTTTAAAGTCAGAATTTTGGAATTCACCGAAAGCAACAAGGGCAGAGTTCTGTCTTTCCACACCCACATCGATTTCTGGAGCCAGATAGCAGGCCACCATTGCTTAGAATTGGAATGCAAGTAAGGTCAAGTGAATTGCAAGTGAAAATATATGTTAGAGAAATGAGGGGAAGAAGGAAGTGCATTGCATTTCATTTTCCACCACAGATCAAAGAACTACTAGAAGGAATGTAGAGTGGGGCTTCTTAGACTTGTTAGTGGGGAAGGTGAAGAGAGAGATTGCTCTTGGAGCATCCAGCTCCACGTGTACTTAGTTTGTCCTACCTGGAGATTTCCACATAATTTCCAGTTTTTGTTATTGACAGTTTATTTTTCTGCCCTTGATGTTTTAGATCCCTGAAAGTTATTTGGTATCTGATTAGTATTACAAGCCGAAGTGGTGACAAATAGGATAAAGATCATTCCTGAAGCAAAGCTCTCTGCAAATTACTGTGAAGATGGATTCTGGTTCAGAGGTCCTTGCCAACAAGGCTCTCGAAGTCTCTGTGCCTGTCCTTAACAGACCTGGAACTGAGCCTGTCAGTACTCTAGTTCCCTTAGCAGAGCAAAAAGGCTTGTTGGGTTTATAAAAATCTCATGTTAACCATATATACATACATAGGGGAATGTTGACACTCCACTGTGAGAATATATGCCTGAAGAACTGAACATGACTAGTATGCACAAAAAAGTACCCCCTTTTTATTTTATAAAATTTTAGCATGTTAAAAAAAATTTTTGTTTGTTTTTGTTTTTCGAGACAGGGTTTCTCTGTGTAGTTTTGGTGCCTGTCTTGGATCTCACTCTGTAGACCAGGCTGGCCTTGAACTCACAGAGATCCGCCTGGCTCTGCCTCCAAAGTGCTGGGATTAAAGGTGTGCGCCACCACCGCCCGGCTAGCATGCTAAAATTATGCCATGCAGAAACTGGCCAAGAACTTCGAGCAGTTTCAAGTAGCTCAGAGTCTAGTCTATCCTGTTTGAAGTTGTCATTTTTGGTAAGGTGCATCCATACATTGCAGTTTTTCTGTGGGTCTCTACTTGTCCAGAGTTTGGATTTTAACGTTTGCAAGCAGTTCAGGGTTAATTCTTGCTGGCCAGTTTGTAATCGTGTGCCCTGCTTTAAACATGGAAAATCAGGGGAATTGTTAGATTTTTTTTCACATTCCTCCACATTCCTTTCTTAGAAATTAAATCCAGGTCATGCTAACGCCACACAAAAGGGATTAATTATATATAGGAGGTAATCATTTTCCTTAAATACTTATTTTAAATTACGTGTGCGTGAGTGCTTCTGTTTGTGTCCACTGAGGTCAGAAGAGGGCATTAGATCACCTGGAGCTGGAGTCACATACAGTTGTGAGCAGCCTGACATGAGCACTGAGACTTGAACTTAGATCCTCCTTGACCACGGAGCCATCTCAGCCCCAGGAGGTAATTATGCTCAATTGTGTGCTGCCCTGAGCACTGAGCTGTTGAAGGGCATTTCTGATCTATCGGTAGCACCTTCCCCAATATGATCACATTCCGAATTGTCTCGAGACATTTCCAAATCTCCCTTGAGAAGGAGAACAAAATGATGTTGTTAAAAAAAAATGAGATAAGGATAAGAGGGTACACACTTAAACTTGTATATATGTGAATGATGATGAGTTTAATGAAATGACTAATATCTTTCAAACGATTAATATATTTCCAGTATTAACAATGAATTAATGTTTTCCAACATTGTTTTGCTTTACGAGTCCATGTTTCTCAACTTTTCCTTTTTGCAGTTTATTAATGTAGGAAAGTGAATTCATTACCAATTCTAGTTACAGCTGATCCTTGAAAATTGCATCATGAACTTTATCATCAGTTTATTTTCTCTAACATTGATTGTGGTCTCACTGAAACAAATTAGCCTTGACCAAAATAATTTCTGGCTGTTGTTTATGCTTACATCCTACCTAGCCTGGATTGTTTAGAACACTGGCACTTCATGTTCTTAGGCTTCAAATAGAAAAAGTCATGTTTGTCTAGGTCTAGTGTTTTATATGAGTGAGTTTTCTTTGATTTTTTTTTTATACATTGTTCTGTCTGCATGTGTGCCTGCAGGCCAGAAGAGGGCGCCAGATCTCATTACAGATAGTTGTGAACCACTGTGTGGTTGCTGAGAATTGAACTTGAACAGCCAGTGCTCTTAACTGCTGAGCCATCTCTCCAGCCTGCTCTGATTTTTTTATTATTGTTATTATTTGTTTTTATTTATGGAAGTTGAAAGCTAAAGGCTGAAGTCAGTATGCTCATATATTAGGATTGCTTGCTGGGTTTAGTTCCAACCAAGAAAACAAAAAGTAGTGGCCCATGGTTGTTGAATTACTTGATTAACTTTCCATGTTGTATGTCATGTTCATATTTCTAAGTTGTTTAAAAAAATTAGGGCACAATAGCCTTGATTTGGCTTTTAGAATGTGACACTATCTAACCTGTTTTTACCCAGGAAATATTAGGGTCTTTGCCACTCTACTGAGCATATATCTTCTTATGATAACCCACCCCTCTCCTGCTTAGTTACAAAGACAATACTCATTGTTTCTCCAGCTTTCTGGGCATGGGAAGGCCTGGTGGACACTCAAGACCAAGAATGCCCAAGAATGTTGAGCCTTAAAGAAAGATAAAGTAAAAAATCCTTTGCTAGTTCTTACAACACAGAACTTAACATTGGCTGCTGTTTCTAGTGAGAGGATTGCCACCATGTCTTTAACATTCTCCTTCAGATGTTGAAATCTCATTTGTTGGAAGCACCATCACTGAAAAGTGGTAGCTTTTTCCGAAACCAGCATTTCAGGACACCCCTGAGCTCTGTGCCTGTATCTTTGCTGGAAGTTATCTTTGACTGTGAACTAAGATTGTTGTCTGCTGTTTTCTTAGATGACAGACTATAACTGTTGACCATTCTGACTTGTAATTTAACAACTTATGTGTGTTAGTTACGTAAGATGAGAATGGTCAGAACCATTTAGTGTATTATCTAATGAAAATGCTTGGTCACTGAGAAAAGAAATGAGACATAAAGGTCCTAAACTATACAGATTGAATTTTATTTTGCTAATTCTTTTTTTTGTTTGTTTGTTTGTTTTTCGAGACAGGGTTTCTCTGTGTAGCTTTGCGCCTTTCCTGGATCTCGCGCTGTAGACTAGGCTGGCCTCGAACTCACAAAGATCCGCCTGCCTCTGCCTCCCAAGTGCTGGGATTAAAGGCGTGCGCCACCACCGCCCAGCTATTTTGCTAATTCTTAATTTGCTATACCAGATGTGAGCTAGACTGGATATAGTGCAAATGTAATGGTATTCCAGTGATTCTTAATGCTTATGAACTCTGTACCTTTTGAAAGAAGCAAAACATGGCTCACACCTGGAATCCCAGTCCTAGGGAGGCTAAGAGTTCCAAGACATTCTGGGCTACATAGCTATGAGATCCTGTCTCACACAAAAGATGTGAGTGGGACTCTCTGAATGTAGCCACAAGTCACTTGTTTACAAATAAATTTTAATTTACACAACACTTCTCAGTGTCATGACTGCATTACTAATTTTTCCCAGTTTTCCAATTAATTTTGAAGGCCATCAGACATGGAGAGCTGTAGTATTAACAGGCTTGTTTTGCGAAGTCTTCACAAAGAATTCTGATTGAGGATAGGATACCCAGTCTTCTTTCATTAACTTTCCAATAATCTTAAACAATGGCTGGATTAGGAACCCCTTGGAATTTCTTGAGTTTAAGACTCTCTTCAGCTCCCTGGTATTGACAAGAAGCCCTGTGCTGGTAATGGCATGTGATTCCACTGGCCAGTCAATTCAGCATCAGAGTTCCCCCACAATCCTGAAAGTCCAGCAAGGCAATCTGTGCTTCTCTGCCTGTCATTGAGGCCTTAAGGAGAGCCCGTGTGTCCCTGAATGAGGCCAGAGCCTACAAAGATGGTCTTTGGTTCTGTAGAAAGCACAGTCCTCATGAAAAAGACAGGCTAGAAAGCCAGTGAGGGTAAAGAACAGTGCTGTCTGGCAGGTGGTGGATAAGACACAATGATCATTCTCAGTTTTCTGATGGGTTAGGAAAGGGAAAGGAAACTAATTTTAGTGATGTTGTTTGATTTTTGAGCCAGGGTCTCACTATGTAGCCCTGGCTAGCCTGGAACTCAAAAAGATCTGCTTGCCACTGCCTCCTGAATGATGGGTTAAAGACATGCACCACCATGCCTGGCAGTATGCTTTATTTAATCCCGTATATTCAGGATGTTGACCTCTTTAATGCATGATCAGTCTAAGAATGATTTGTAAGTGAGGTTTTGTAGCGAGTCTTCACAGTCTAAGGGTGTGTTCCATTTTGAGCACCTTGTGCTTTGGACTGACCAAGGAGAGCAGCAGGAAGAAACCAGGGCCTGAGAAGGAAGGGAGAAGCGGGCTGAGATAAGTCAGGCTTCAGTACAACAGTCTCTAGCGTCAGCACATTGATGAGATGAGTAGTTTCGGGAGCCTGTGGAGGGGCCGGACACGAAGGTAGAAGGGCGAGAGTGGGCGTTTCATACCGTGCGTGCGTGTCTGGGCTCTACAGCCATGAGCTAGGTTGGCTGTCCCGGGCAAGGAGAGGAAGAGATGATGTTGAGAGATCCTTACGGAAGAAATAATGGGAAGGAAAGCGAAAGCATCTTTCTAGTGATGCGCTTGTCTCACTCAGTCAATCCACAAGTTGGGGTGTGTTTATTTTTCAAAATAGAAAAAGGCCCTTACTAACAGATTTTTCATGACAGTATGCCTTTGCTCACTCCATGACTGATAAAATTCATGGTTTCCATTTCCTTTTCGCATAAAAGAAAAACACGGTCAGTTAAGAGCATATTATCCTTCTTGGAAGAAAAAAAGACAACTCCCAGGAAATTATTCTACACTGCTTTTTGTTTAAGTAGAGGAAGAGGAGAGAGGGGGAAATGAGAGTTTATCTTTGTAAAAAAACAAGCCATTGGCAAAAAGCTGGATCTACCAAGAAGTTGGTGATGAAGTCCTCCAGTCAGTGTCTAAGTTAGTAAAAGAGAGATGAAGTACAAATGGAGCTGAACACGTAAGCCAAAGGGCGAACAGGATAGGGACCTTATAGCCAGAAGAAGCCAAAGGGCGAACAGGATAGGGACCTTATAGCCAGAAGAAGCCAGGTGAAAGGGTGGCCTGCTTCTTTTGGGCTGCTGGGGGTTGGGTGAGAGAATGGACAGTTTCCATTTCTTGAAGTAGTGAGCGATTATGGATCAGCATCATCACAGCATCATCACAGGGACCACTTGACTCTTCCATTTCTTTCCTAGTTTTTTGTTCTGTTTTGTTTTTCAAGACAGACTCTCTCTGTGCAGCCCTGGCTGTCCTGTAACTTGCTCTATAGACCAGGCTAGCCTTGAACTCACAGAAATCTGCCTGCCTCTACCACTCAAGTGCTGGAATTAAAGGCGTGTGTCACTACCACCCAGCTCTCTTTCCCAGTTTAACAGAGACCTTATTCATTGGCTTTGAAGAAGATGAATTCTGCAGCTACCATTACAGTATGCCAGAGGGAAAGATGTATGGTCTCTGTGATAGGTGTCCTTAAAACAAAATCAGGAGCTGGGTGTAGTGGCATTGGAGAGTGAGTGAGGTGTTTAGGGGTTGAGGCCAGCCTGGGATACAGAGTGAGTTCCAGGAAAGGTGCAAAGCTACACAGAGAACCCTGTCTCAAAAAACCAATCCTCCCTCCCCCCAGGAAAAAAAACTCACTTTTCATAGGCCAGGATTTCTCAACTGTGAGACTCAAAATTTTGGGCTGGTCAGGGACATTCAGCTTGCTCCTGTATACTTTAGGTATTGAACAGCACCTCTGGCATGTATCCACTAGATGGCACTGCTGAAACCTTTACTTGTAATATTCCAAATGTACTATGAGGGCAAGATAGCTTTTTCTGTTGAGAACCTCTGGTCTAGACTTTTCTAAGATGGTTCAATGTCAATGTTGCCAGGACACTTGTACCCACCTCTACCTCCCAACATACACGCACACACACAGTCCTGGAAAGAAAAACAAGGGTTTGATTTTGAATTTATACTTTTAGCAACCAAAGCAAGAGAATCATTTCTTCTGTGAAGATGAATGAGAATAAGGAGTTTTCTGTTTTTTATGGAAATAAGACCTTTCCCTGCTCTTCATTTTAGTTTACCTGTATTTCAAAAGAAATCAGGAAACAGAAACTGATAAAGGAAAAAAGAATTTATTTGTAGTTGGTCAAGTGTTGAGTTGTAGGCTTATTTTAAGCACCTTTACAAACCAGAAGACAGATTCTTGGGGGTGGTAGTTTTCTTCAACTCTAGGCTTGGGAAAATGGAGTAGAGACCACTTGCCTACAGAAAACCATTCCCCATTTTCCTAGGGAGCTGCAG